ATTAAAATTTATATTTATTTAGATGTTGGATTTCATGAAAAAATTTCGAGAAAACGAACTGGGATTTAGTTGCGGTGGTTTTTTCGTTGCATCGAAGGGATGTCCGGTAAAGGTATATGGAAGTTTATCAAATATAAGAAACATGCGTAGATTATAAGTTCGAGTTCTGTAGCGATTAATTTACAGCTGTGAAGATTTTAAAACGTGAAAAAAACAGGAAAAAATTAATTGTTCTTTTTATCGTTAATAGGTGTACAGTTCGCTCTATTCTGCCTTCAACGTTCTGTTGCAAGTTCGGGACATTTTGAAAGGCGGAGATAACGAGTGCATTTCTTTCGCTGCACACATTTTACATTTATCTCGAAATTCCACTTTGTTGCAAAAATAATCTCGCTAATAATTACCATTTACAGAATACTGTATTCTAAATATTTTACTTGATTTCAACGCTAATTATTGTAAAAAAATTTTAATCGGTTTGAACGTTTGCATTTTCCCGTTAATGAAGTAATTACATAATATGTTCCGTTTAAATACTGTATATATAAACCCTTTTTTTAATAGAACGAGGCTCTTTTTAACGCGAGGCTCTATGCTACAGTTTATTTGACCTTATGCGTAAATCCATCTCTGAGCACGGTGAATAAAAGGAAATTTTTACATATAGCACAGATTTTGAAAAACTTTTATGGGATGTAGCTAGAATTTCACGATGAAATTTTGAACCTTAATAAATTTCGATACTGAATTCAACTTAAACGTTATTCATAGGTAGACTTTTCATAATATTTTTTCTCAAATTGGGAAAATTTTGAGAAAATACTCACAACCGAAAATATGATAAATCGGCACCTTTAAAATGTGACAATGTATTCGAGGAAATTTATTTCGCTGCTACTAGGCTTGACTTACGTTTTGCACATTTCAATTGATTTTTAATGTCCACCGTGTGTTACCGAAAATTCTGAATAGCGCAGTTGACTTTGTCAATACGATCACATACGTTTTTCAAAAAGGGATAATCCTTTTTTAATTTATTAGTAAACACACGGTTTCTTTCTGGCATTTTGGAGATTAAATTAATTTAATGTACAGTACAAAATAATCGCAAATGCCGACTAGCAATTTGAACTCCAATAAGATAGGACATGAGCGACAATCACGTGGCAGTGTAAGTTTTAGTATTGTCAAGTCTAATTGAAACAAAGTATCTAAAAAAAATGTAATAAAAATATTTGGATCCATAGGCTACACGCTACTATAAATTCTGTGAGAAAATATCTGGACGAAAAGCATAAAACATCTAAATTCATTAGGCCACATGCTATAAATTTTGGGGAAACATCTAAATGCCATTATTAAATAAAAGTACAGTACTTAGATATACAGTAGATACAAAATATTTAGATAGGCAACAGCGAGTGTATATTTTAGTTGCCAAATCGTCATTTTACCGGAGGCTGCACTAATTTTTACTTCTTGTATATTCGGCACTTTTAAAATTTTACCAAATAACTGAAACAAAATGACAAACTGACCGGAACGCTGGGACCGCATCATCAAAACGAGTCAGTCCCGGTGAAATCGGGACGTCAGGTGGACCTATTCATTGGCCTTCCGCTATAACTTCGTGCATGCTCTGGCAAGAAATAGTTTTCGGAATGCAATAGTCTTTGCGAACGATTGTTGAACTTTTAATCATAGACAACATCAAATTATTTAACTCGAAATCATAGAAATTAAATTGACAGTTCTTAGATAACGAGTTATAAGATTTTTCGCTCGTAAAAAAGTGTGGTATGCTAACGATAGTTGCGATTGGCTGAACGTTTACTCTGCTTTCCTTCTTCGGTCCGAAAATAGTTCAGAAATGGCGGCCATTTTAAGAACTACAGACGACACGCGACGGTTTGGTTTCATTGTAATATTAGGAAACATTTCAAAGAAACCATACACTTTTCTCTCCGGTACCTTTATAATAATAAGGGATGTCAGCATTTCTATTAGGACACTGCTTCTACAATGGAGACAGATAACGCGCAAGGATACGATTTTACCGTACAGTAATGACGTGGCCGCTTTTCTCCGTTTCGTGCACGAAGTGACAGCAGTTGGAAAATTCAAATTAAAAATAGTGTTAAAAAATACTTATTGGTGTTGTGAATTTTAAACAATTATTGTTCCATTAAAATTGTTCACGTTTAGAATAATTCAACACGATTATGTCGATTCACCACAAGCTATTATAAAACAGTTAAAATTTATTAAATAGTGTAAATTACTTGTAAATTGTATACAATATGCTGTGTTCAATCTTTTGTCACTTATATTTATTTTGTATTTATTCGTTTAGTAATACAGTGAAACGTGGTTAACTCGAACCGCCGTAATTCAATCTTTTCCTGATTAGCGTATGGATTTACACTTTAGATTAAACCTTTTTATTCGAATTCTTCGATTCTCGGGAATTTTAATTTAAATAAAATAATTTACGTTTGTCTATCCAATAAACTATTCAGAAACTTTTTATAAAGCCCGGGAACCACGCAACACTAAAAATAAACTTCGTGCCACGTGAAGACGGCAGGGGCGGTGGTTTCCAGACAGTTTGTGTGACCTAGATATTGTAACTGCCATTCGGACCTGCTTTTCCACCGAAGATTTTGTCTTTCTTTATTAGCTTATTGTTACATTTAGCTTATTTGACCATTCGGATAAGGGTTTTCGAATTTCTGAGCAACACCCAAAGGTTTACATTGACACGACGATTCTACGTTAAAAGACACACAGAAATATCGTATGGATAGTTTATTATGGCCCACCAGTAAATCGATGCAGGAAGTCTTGATTTTAAGCCCAAACCTACGTAACTCGAAGTCCGAATATTCCTCCCCTCCGACCAATTCGAGTTAAGCAAGTTCCACTGTCTTATGTAATAAATGGCTTGAATGTATATAAATGATAAGTTATTATTTAATTGTGGAAGATTTGCAATTACTAACGACTGTAGAAATTTTAAAAGCATTTTCTGTAATATAAATTGCATAGAATTTTAATACTGTATTTCCTTAATTGCAACATGTATAGAAAAATATAATATTAACAACAGTATCGGGGCATTAATGATTGAGTCTGCCGCTCTGGAGGACCCTAAATCGAATCCGAACGATCAACCCCCGTAAATTTTCCCCCAATTGTGGGCCTGGCCGAACCCACGATGGGTACGGAAAAAAAGGCCCACTTAAAGCCGAATTCACAATGAGGAATGAACCAATAAGTTCTTGTTAAAATTAAAGTGAATGGTGGTTGGTTAACTTCTAACTCTTGATATTTGTGTCCACTGGGAGAAAAGAGTATTAAAAATATATTAAGAGAAAAACAGGAGAGTGCATTAAACTATAATATTTATTTAACCCGATTCTCAGAAAATTTCTGTAAAGAAGGATATTTATAGCAAGTACGAAAAGATTTGGGAAACTTCCAAAAATCTCACTGTTCAAATGCAACTATTAACACAAGATTATAAAGTATAAGAGGCGCGAACCCCCGACCAACCACCAATGTTTATTGGTTTTATCTACTCGGCTATAGATGAAGTGTTTTAACACTCATTGTCTGTGATTTATAAGTAAAAAGGCACGCTCATTGATTACTTATTCTAATCGCTGAGTGTTCCCTTCTACACTTATTGATTACTCACTGATTACTCAGGAACACTTACTGGTTATTTACGTTAGTGAGTGCACTTTTCTACTTATAAATCATTAGTAAATTCAATTCTGTTAATTATTCTTAAATAATTTATCTTATTCAAATATTAAACGAATACAATCCAACCTCCAAACAACGGCAATTTTTTATGTTCTTGTCAGTGTCTGTGATTCAGAGGTTTGTTGTATAATTCATTATTGTAAACAGTTATTGTCTACTTATTCGTTATTGTTTTGAAATATTTTAATATATATTTTAAAATATATTCAAAATCTATTTGTATTTTACGTTAAAACCTTATGAACAACCATAGGGTTATAAGTTTCTCGTTATAAGCTTACGTTATAAAGTAATAAGTTTAAGGGTATTTTTTACACAGCAGTTCTATTTCGAGAACGACACTTATTTTCTGTTTAGGCAAATTTCTGTTTTATAAATCGTGAGTTTAGCCAGGGTGACAATGGGGGTGGTTGAGTGATAAGAAATAGGACAGACCATACCCCAAAAAATTCCTACAGTGTTTTTGATGGACCAAATTCAATTCCGGATTTCTCAGAGCCATAATCTGATGTATTTACTGCCTTATCTAACTATACCCTCCTATTAAATATTAGAAAATAATAAATATATTATTTAAAATGAACTAAATAAAACAATAAAGTTTTTTTTAAACTTGCTCTAAAAGTTTATAAAAACTAGTGCCATATAACCAGATACCAGCAAGGAAAAAAGACAGTGGGGTAGTTAAATAGCTTCAAATTCCAGCACACCGGAAGCATCATTCTCCAGATAATAAAGGATCAGTTGAAAAGAACGAATTTCAAGTGTTCTGTAACCATAAAAAAAACTGATACAGGCCGATCAACTGAATAGAAAAATCTGAAAAAAATGGAACTTTATCTCACGTTCGAGATAAAATTTATACGCTGTTTATTCTCCAAATTCTTTTAGGATTTTTATTATTAATTTTCAACGTACCATTATAAATTGTATATATATTTTTTTAAAGATAAAATGTATTGAATCGCTGACACACTAGCATTAAGAATTTAAGACACAGCGAAATAAATATTTTCTTGAGTAATGTTTGATTAGATTACGTTGTAAGTTATGGGGTTTATTTTCTTTTAACGTCCTTAATATATATATTTATTTAAACCCCTATTATAATTATTATACACATGCCCACCTTCGCATTACTCGAATTAATTATTAATTTATTAAGGGACATAATTTATAATGAAAATAATAGAGTTATAAACTAAGAATTTCTTACGGGAGAGTCCAATATATATAAGAAGGTAAGGAAGACGTGAGTCATTTAACACTGTTTACGTGTATTATACTTCGTAGTATGGAGGTTAAATAGATTAGTAAACAATATGAAACGTGTTCCTCTTTATTTGAAAAACATTTAAAGTTGTTTTGAAAGTCCAAATGAAGAAAATTCTTTAAATATATTATAAAATTATAGCAAAACGGGGTAAGTTTTTTCTACTCCAATAGGGGCGATTGTTTATACTTTTAATAAATAATTTTATAGTGTTTTATCCATTTGGAATATTGAATTTGGTATATAATCCAATATTAGTTGAGATTTGACAGATTTCATGTATGAGAGACATATACCATATCTCTTATACATAATACCAGAAATATTTTCGATTAGATGAAGAATTTAATGTTATCTTCTAACAATTTTAAGCAACGGTTAATTAATAATTGTACTTTGCCTATTGCATCAGAGAGAAGGATAATTTTTGGACTCAACAGCACCAGCAGAGCCTTGTGTTTAGATCAGTTGCCATTTAACGGTTCAAGGTCAAGAAGCGAAAGAGGTTTTTTTTTCTCTCTCTCTCTCTCTTTTCATTCCCTCGAGATATCTAGTAGTAGATGCCATCAAGATTGATTAATCTGCCAACACTATCTTCAACCAGTTCCATGATCTGCACTTTTTCCCCCTTTCTTTCTTTCTTTTTTTTCAAGACAAGGGGGGAAAAGCATTCGGAAAAGCCTTTCTTTCTCTCTTATGACCAAAATTGGGGGGAGGGGAGATGATCGAATATGTATTAACCCATTCTAGGTCAATATAGAATAGAAATTTAGCAATTACTGAAGAATATTTATTCAAACGGGCTGATTAATTTCTATAATATATAATAATTTTTCATTGGGTTTATTAATTTACAGAAAATAGTTAGTTTTTTTTTTTTAATTTTAGCCAATTTATTGTTGTGTTAATATTGAAAAATGTATGATCATGTTTATATTATTTATTTTTTTTTTAATTTTCCGTTTCGAAGAAAGATATATACGAGGAAAGAGAGAATGATAAAGATTATAAGACGTAGAAATTTATGGTTGCTTGAAAGAATAGAAGAAGTATAGCTAATGTAGAGTACATTGGTCGAGCATCACTCAAACACGATACATACTTCTCACCAATCCAGCCGACAAGCGAACGACTGCGCTTCCCTCCAGGCACCCTATACCATTGCACCCCTAGTCAAATGGCTGACTAGCTGCATCTCGAGTCTCTCCAGTGAAAAGTACTGATGGCGAACAACACGCGAATGGATTATTTGCTGGCAGAATTAAAAAGAGAAACGGTAAGTTTATCTATGCATTCCTTATATTCGCGTATAATTATATGTATATATATTTATTTAAAAAATAAATAAATAAATTGTGTTAAAAATGATATCGTTTATAGTTTAGTTTAGTATATTTCGTTTATTTAAATATATTTAAATCTAAATAATACTTTTTATATATTGTTAAACTGGAATTAAGGTCGGTAAGGTCATTCTCGTGCGAGACACGTGGACTAGATCCCCACTCTGTCTTTTGAATCATAAGAACCACGATAGTTGGCGATAATAGCAGAGGGATGCAGTCGTTCCGGCTGAGTTGTCAACTCCCCCACTTCCCATAGAATTCGTAACATCTGCCAAACAGCTGAAAAGATTCCTTCTGGGGATAGGAATTATTCTCTTTGTTTGCACTTTTGTCAATTCATATTTAACTATTTATGGGTATTTTTCTGTAATTTCTCATTAATCTCCTGAAGAAGAAGGAGGAGGAGGAGGAGAAAAAAAGGAATTAATCGATTTTTCTGAGAAAAATTTTACTTCGAATTCCTACTTAGTGGAATTTCAAGTTATTTATGGGGATATCCGATGGAAGTCAGCTGTTCCAAAGTATCTATTTCGAGAGATGAAAGTGTAAAATGTAACATGCTACGAAGAAAGTTCTTTTATTTATTATTTTTTATTTTTTATTTTTCTAAATTTTAATTTTATAAATAATTTATAGTAATATTAGTAAACATAATTAAAATACTATTTAATATTTTAAAAATTATTTAAGAAAATCGAATTGAAAGTTACTAGTATATTCGAGTAAATAGATATTGAGATTTCTTGAAAGATTAGAATAAAAGGACTTAATCGAAGAACAAAATATGTTATTCGGTGAATAACTCGCATCGTTATACAAATATTTAAATGGGGAAAGTGTATAACCAGGAACGAAGTAATGCCTAAGTTCACGTAAAAGCCGATACTTCCTTTTAATGCCTCCCTTACTTAAAATGTTTTCAATGCGATGTTTATAAATTCCCACGTACAGTACACTTTGCCGGAACGGAGAAGGGGAGAAGAGGAAAAAAAAAAACACTCTTCTCGTGTCATCCGGATCAAATTTCTGGAAGTCAATGTTTCTGTTTGTTAGTTAAGAGCCTTATGGGCCAGACAGCAATTGGTTTTGTGCGAATGGATATTAAATTACTATTCGACCTTGTCTTGTTCGTGTCATTCGCCCCACGTTACTCACACTTTTAACAATTAACAAAGATTTCCTTTACAGAAATAAATTGTTTGGATAATCGTATATTTGGATTCGTTCAAAATTCCAGGTTATTAAGTAGAGTAAATGTGTAATTATAGTTAAAATTTTCGGGTTTTAGCTTATGCCTTAATTAACAGTAACTGATATATTTAATTTCAAAAAAAGTGACTTTTTACACGAAACTTAAATCCATTTCCCACAATGATAATAATAATAATAAACAAGCACTTTTCAAATCACTACATTGACCTCATTACAACTAAAAAGCTTACGTTATCCACTCTTAAGAGCGGCTACATCAAACGAGATAAACAATTATAAAAAATGATGGCAAATTTGTTTAATATACAATTCAAAGAAAGCCGAAATTTTCCTAATATATGCCTTTTTTTTCCCCTAAATTTCAGACGAAACTAAGACAACAGGGTGATTGCTTTCAACAGCAAATGTGTCAGATGTATTCGATTTTAAAAGACGTCATCAAGAACCACGAAAGAAAGGGAGAACTTTTGGAGGACGATCGCCATCCTTTAACAGTAACAAATCCTCTGTTAGATACCATCAACACTCTGACCTGCGAGTCGGACGATTACTATGATCTGATCGATTGGAAATCAGATAATACATGTAACAATTACGTGGCATACGCTGGGTCGGTGGATAGCGGATACAAGAGCCACTGTCCGACACCCGAATTAAACGAAATTTGCTATAATTATACGCCCTCCTACTCGTCACGATCCAACAAACCGAAAATCGTTATGGGAACGAAAGTAATTGGACGTCATCAAACAGCCAACGAAATATCAAATTCGAAGTCAAAGGAAGCGCAAGAAAAACGCCAAGGTCGAAGATCCTCGTGTGAACACGAAAATAATCATTTTTCTTCTCAGCTTTCTTACGCTAAAGAAAAACTTGCCCAGTCTAATGATGTTACTACAAATTATCTAAATAGGGCAACCTACGATAAACAGTTATCTCGATCTTCTAGGATGGTGAGATTTTCGGAAACCGTGAAGACCTTATCGAGATCAAAGCGTAACAGAAACACACCGAAATCGAGAAAGTCAAAGTCCATTTTGAAAGATCCTGTTTGTAATAATCTAAAAAGTCGTTTGACACCCGCCAGTGGATACACTTTAGAAGAAGAAATTGATAATATTTTACACGGGAAACTTGTTTACTATGACCTGGATAAAGTGGAATTTCCTGATGGTTTTTCTGCCGATGATGATTGTCTGATCGAACGGAATGTAAAAGGTGAGCATCTATTAATTAAATAGAAAAATTCCTATCATTTAACAATGCTTACTGTTATAATTACATTTTTATAAGCTGTTTTAATCCCTCAGTAATAACTTTTATAGGTTTTATGCTCTTTAAAATATTACACAATTAATTATTAGGCCTAATAATAATATAAAATTCTCTAAAGAAATTCATTAGTAACATTCTTTCATACGTGACCTCGTATTTTGTTTTTTTCTTTTTTGCAATCAGCCGTTTAATATGATAT